TCGTAGAGCCACGAAATTCGGTACACACATTCGTCATGTGAAGACAAACAAAAAATATTATTATGGCAACGCCCCCTGACAAACCAGAAGGCGGCCATCTTGGATTGAAATTTCAGTCCGCATTTTCTTTCACATTGCGTTTGAACGAACTCCTCTGAAGGCGCTTCACCCACAAGGCTGAAAATCACCGTACATCATCTAGAGAAGTGGAACATCTAAAGTTAACTGATTTTTTTTGGATAATTGTCACAGTTTACGTGCGGCGAGGCCGCAAAATTTAGTCAAAGTTTGGGGTAATTTCAAGGTGACATTATTTGCTCCTGTTCGCACAGACTTAGTCCAATTGTGCTGAAATTTGAATCACTAATGTGTGATCTCAGTCTGAATATAAAATACTATAAACATATGAAAAGTGAACACTATAGCGCCCCCTACCATAGACATGAAACGTCAACATTGTCGGATTTGCACCAAATTTGGGAATTCAATTCTATTAATGACTAGAAGCAAAAACATATATTACTGACATGGGAATTTTTCAAGGTTGGCCAGCAGGGGGCACAAAGAACATTTAAAGGCATACTATGTCATTTCGCCGTTTGCAGGCATAGAATTTGTGGACACGGCGTTTAGGGTATCGTGTTGGCGGGGCGCACCATTTGCGGGCGCGGCGTTTGCGGGCGCGGCAGGCGAGGGCCCTTCGACACCGCTTGCGGCTTTAATGTTTTTCTTTCTTTCCATTAGATTCGGACTCGAGCCATTTCAGCTAAAGGCATGACTCTGGTCAGCCCTCTGCAGCTGCTGCTGTTTGGATGTAAAAAGATTACTTCTAATGGAGAAATTGTGGAGCTAGATGAGTGGTGAGCCACGCTCTTAGCACTCAAAGAACAGTCACATGTTTCACACTTACTTCAGCTGTTTAGTTTATTTTTAAAGACAATGTATCACAACAGTCCCATCCACCTCTCCAAGCTTTTGGAAAGCAATGCCCCATACTTTTTCTCCATAAACTTCCATCTATCCATTTTCCTTTGCTTTATCCAGGGCTGAGCTACAGAGGCAGCTTTCTGTGTAGGGAGCAAGGCTGGGAAGCCTGGTCCTCCCTTCCCTCCCATCCTCCTAGGAGGACGTGGAATGTCACCCCACAGATTTTGTTTTTAAAAAAAAAAGGCAGGCAGAAGCTAACATCTATGTAACAGCTTAGTAATAACTTAGCAGTTTACTTGTGGTTGTTAACACATTGCTGATCAGAATCCAAGAAGCTTTCAGACTTGTTTTTTAAAGGGAATTATGAATGTGAAATTTGGTTCCAGAACCATGGTCATGAGCTCTGGGTAGTGACCAAAAGGACAAGATCGCGGATACAAGCGCTCGAAATGAGTTTCCTCCGCATCTTTTCCGGATGCCTCCTGGACGCCTCCCTCAGGAGGTGTTCTGGGCATGTCCCACTGGGAGGAGGCCCCGGGGAAGACCCGGGACACGCTGGAGGGACTATGTCTCTCGGCTGGCCTGGGAACGCCTTGCGGTTCCCCCAGAAGAGCTGGAGGAAGTGTGCGTGGAAAGGGAGGTCTGGGAGTCCCTGCTTAGACTGCTGCCTCCGTGACCCGGCCCCGGATAAGCGGAAGAAAATGGAATGGAATAATCTATCATATATAATCTATCATATATAATCTATCATATATTATCTATCATATATAATCTATCATATATAATCTATCATATATTATCTATCATATATTATCTATCATATATTATCTATCATATATTATCTATCATATATTATCTATCACAGGGGTCGGTAACCCAAAATGTTCAAAGAGCCATATTGGCCCAAAAAAACAAACACCATACCTGCCTGGAGCCGCAAAAAATTTAAAACCTTATATAAGCCTAATATGAAGGCAACATAGGCTGTCAGTATTTTAGCTATATAAGCCGACTTTTAAAATGACTAAGTCGGCTACAAATACAAAATGAGCATCATGATTACACAAACCCCTTTTGTGACCCTCTCATACTCTGTGCAGCGTCTGTAGCCACTGAAATCAGGTGGTTAGTGTTTATTCCTTTGTCATTTAGGCCCCGTTTACACGTACACGGGTATTTTTAAAAACGGAGACATTTCCCTTCGTTTGTTCACCGTTTACACGCAAACGGTGAATTTGCCTCTGAAAACGAATCTTTCTAAAAACTACGGTTTCACCTTTGTGTGTTAACTGAGATAAACGGAGTTTTAGGTGCGACTGACGTTTACCTGTTGCTTTGACGACGACGATGCTGGAAGTATTCAGAGCAGCAGTCGCATTTCTTCTGATCGTGCATAGGAGCACTCATAAAACAGCAGCATGTAGAACTTTGTACGCAACTCCACGCACATCAGCCCGGGGCAGAAGCTCTGAGCTCGGGCAGCAGCGCAAAACACACGGGAGCAGTCAGCGCGCAGCTCCTCAAGACGGGGCTGGGGGTCCAGTGTTGATTGTCCGGAGGCTTCGTCCTCCGTGTCCTGGTTCCAGGCGGGGGTGAGCAAGACCAGCGCGCAAAGGACTGGGTCCGAGCGGTTCCGTGTCGTCCTCTGTGCGCTGGTTCTGTGCAGGAAAAGCGAGAATGCGCTGTGGACTACAGGTCCGGGCTGCTCCGGTCCTCCGCGCTCGACCGCGGCTGGTTCCGAGGTGGTGCAAAGCATCCGGACAGAAGCGTGAATCCCATTTGGTTTGTTATATGTTGTTCTGAGCGGTCCGTCTGCGCACGTGTTTTTTTTTTTTTTTTTTTTCGGGGGAAAGCGCTTCTCAGGTGGAGGCACCGGACACCACCCCCCGCTTCAGATCATCTGTTTGTTCGGCTGAAACACTTTTAATGTCTTTGCATTTGCACACACAGCTGATGGATCAGATCCATGACCAGAGATGAACGAGGGTTTTACCCCTACAGAAAGCATATTAAAACAACAACAAAAAAATTATTCCTTTTCCATTTTCACTCATTTTTGAAAAAGCTCCAGGGAGCCACTAGGGGAGTGCTAAAGAGCTGCATGCGGCTCCGGAGCCGCGGGTTGCCGACCCCTGATCTATCATATATAATCTATCATATATAATCTATCATATATCATATATCATATATCATCTATCATATATCATCTATCATGTATTTTCTGTCACTAAGAGACGAGAATACGTCACACCCGTGCTGTGTAACCTGCATTGACTCTGTCTTTTATCAAGTGTAATTTAAAATGTTAATGATTGACACACACGCACACACACAAACACACACACACACACACACACTATACTTTATTTGACTCTCGTCTGTCTCAGGGCCAAAGTCCAAACTCCCAAAATTGTAGAGTATAAAAGCTGAACATTTGCTGGTGTTAAAGACGTGTTCCCTTTGCCTCTTTCAGCTGTTTCAAACAAGGTTTGACTTTATTCTTTCTACAATGCATTTGTATTGTTTGTGTTTGGTTATAAAAGCAGGATTTTCCTTCAGTTTTGCACTAACTGATGTGTAAGTCTTTGTCTCCTGCTCTAGTTTATTGTCTGTGTGTTACACTGCTGAGGTACTTGTAATCCAATGACAATAATTAAGTAGAAGTGAGTAACTTGGAGCCAACACTGTGTGCTGTAGAACGTCAGTCCATTTGCACTGTTCAACACTTTAATCACTTTCTGTAACCATGGACACTATTCAAACTAATAACACAGAAAACAAGAAATCAGAGGCAAGCAGTCAAATATAAAGCAAAGAAAAGAGAAAGAAAGTGAGGAAATAGTCCACACACAGATGTATGTTTGTCTTGTGCAGTGTGAGGAGTTGGTCTGGTGATGTGCTGCTCCAGTTCAAAGGTGTGGCTCTTATTCCTGTGTCTTATTTCCTCAAACTGTGGAGAGACAGAAAAATACCTTCAAATATAATCAACTTCTTTTCACATTTGGGGCGTTTCGTAGCGGCTTTTGTTCTACAACATTTACTGTTCAAATGCATTCATTAGAGGAACACTGTGTGCATTTGTGGAGGAGGCATGAGGAGGAGGAGAGCCTCCTTCAGGACAAATGAGAGTCAGGTTTGTGGAGAGACAAGCCCACTCACAATAAGGACGCAGGTTTTTTTAAAACCTTTTGCAGTGCAACAAACACAACCGAGAACTGACCCAAAGGAGAACAAAAATGTGGATTCAATGAATTCAGCAAATATCTGAACTAGTGGGACTCACACCACAGTTTGAGAAGCACTGCTCTAAACTTAGAGATGAACTGGACATGTTGTTCTTTGTAAAGTGTTATTTTACATGTTGTTCTTTGTAAAGTGTTATTTTATATGTTGTTCTTTGTAAACCACAGTGTGAACTCTTCGGTGTTAAAGTTGCTCAATTAACTCATCAGAGTTTTGCCTTTGGACGTCAGTCTCTTTCAAACTGATGAGAGTTCGATTGCCCTAAAAGTCTGGACTTTATTTCAGGTGTGAATAAAGACAAACAAACTCTGATCCGGACCAAACGGGGCTGACATAATAATGTAAGTGTGTGTTGAGGAAAGAAACATTTGTGACATGTTTAAACATTAGTGTTGTTTGGGATGAATGTTTTGTGTGTTTTTCCTTTTGAAGCAAATGAACAGAGCATGGATCAGAGAGAGCACAGAGAGGACCGAGCACCTCCCTCTTAAACCACTCACCCCCCCAAAGCTCAGAGGTAAGGGACCATCTCTAATGCTCCACCACTGTTCTCCATGTCAGAGCTCAGACTAAAGCCACTGCTCCATCTGTGTCCACAGACCTGCTCCTGGGACCAGCGCCCACTCATTCAACAGTGATCGCTCTAATGATGGAGGGATTGATTTGAAAAGAGAACATGGTCCACAGTAAGTCACACTCACAACACCTTATAACATCACCACTTTATGTTAACAAACATTTGGATATAATGTGGGTGATGTGGTTTGAATGAAATAAAAACATGTCCAGGAGTGGTCCACAGTTCACAGAGAATCACATTCAAATCAGAATGAGACACACAAGTCTGTCCTTTGTTCCATAATTCAAACTTTAAAAATATCTAAACTGGATGTGTTTGTTGTTGAATGTGCCGTACTGAAGCGTCTGTGGTGAAGGCCTCATGAACACTTTGTAGAACCTCCTGAAGTATCTGACCTGAGTCAGAACAGTCCCATGTGTTTTACTGTGACTGAAGTGTGTTTTCTTCTGTGTCTCAGGATCCACCAGAAACATCCTCTGTCTGAACCTGGTCCCAGCTGTGAGTCCCTCAGGAGTGACATGTCTATGGAACTTCCAATATCCTTCAGGAGAGAGTTGTGAGTGAGCACTGTGTATTATGGTGCATGATATTAGAAGTATATGTGAAGTTAGATCTGGTCCACATGTCCAAACCTGGCCTCAGGGTCAAATGCTTTTTAGACAAACATTTACAAAACAAACTCTAATTCATCTGTACATATGAATGTTATTTATCAGTGAGAAGCAAAAAATCACCTGAATCCAACAAAACCATGGGCCGATCATAGCACTAGCACTAGCATTAAAGAGGGGGTGTGTCCAGGTGGGGCTGTACTTGGCTGCTGGAGGCTGGAGTGGGATGATACAAGTCCATATATGGTGATGACATCTGAACCAATCTGTGAGCGCTGTGGCATTTAAAATCACTGCCAGTGTGGGTAAAGTGTGCAGTCTTTGCCTCATCACAGGCAGCACAGAGGCTGTGGGGAAAAGTTATATATGTGACAATAAAATAGGTCCAGAGCCTCACGATGAAAGTCCACACCAGCAGAGGCACCACCAAGAGAGAATTGTGGATGTGCCGTGACAGAACTGTCTAAGTTTGTGTTTGGAACACTCCACGTGCACGTGCCCCTGTCACACACACACACCCACACACACCCACACACACCCACACACACCCGTCAACCTTTTTAGTTTTTTCTGCATTCTTCTGTTCATTACACACCAGACCAGAGTCTATCTCATGTTCCCCATCCCACAGCAGATCCACTGACCACTGCTCTCCCCCCAGTCCCACCCACTCTCGTCTGTTCTGGTTCTGCTCCTGCGTCTCTCACCTGAAGTAAGATTGATCAGCCTCTCCCACACTCCTCCACGGTGGGATCCAGCAGGAGGGTTGAACGACCACTTGATGCCCTTTTGGAGTAACACACTGTGCACCTGTGCTTAGTTCCACTGCTCTATGAGTGGTTTTAGCTCACGTTCTGCTCCCACTAAATTTGTCTCATTGTCAGAGTGCAGCTCATGGACCTGTCCTCTTCTGGCTATGAAGCACCTCAGAGCGTTTAGAAGGAGTCAGTATCCACAGAAGGTGCCACCTCAATGTGAAAAGCTCTCAGTGCAAGACGGGTACTGTAAATATGACACTGTACCACTTCACTGTACTCCTGCTCCTCACTTTAAAAGGCCCAAAATAATCAACTCCAACTCTGGTAAAAGAGGCTCATCTGGCATGAGTCGTTCCGCGGACAAGTGTGCCACCTGCTGGTACACTGGGGTAGCACTGAGTCTCCTGCAGATGACACATTTGTACAGGACACTCTTATAGCAGTGCTGACTCCAGTGATCCAGTGTTTCTCCCTGAGCTTGGATAACATGTGGGTGTGGCCTCCGTGTCCCACATCCTGATGTACTTTCCTCAGCAGCAGAGTAGAAATATGGAGATCTTTGGCCAGTTTGACGGGATGACTGGACTCTAGGGGCATTGAAGATTTGCATAGACGCCCGCACACACGTAAGATACCATTTTCCAGCCTTGGGCACAACTTGTACAGCTTACTGGTTTCCAGTTACCACACCGTTTCCTGTCAGTCAACCGTTTACTGTCCACAAGCAGTGTCTGCGGTGAAGGCCTCCTGAACACTCTGTATCTGAGTCAGAACAGTCCCATGTGTTTTACTGTGACTGAAGTGTGTTTTCTTCTGTGTCTCAGGATCCACCAGAAACATCCTCCGTCTGAACCTGGTCCCAGCTGTGAGTCCCTCAGGAGTGACATGTCTATGGAACTTCCAATATCCTTCAGGAGAGAGTTGTGAGTGAGCACTGTGTATTATGGTGCATGATATTAGAAGTATATGTGAAGTTAGATCTGGTCCACATGTCCAAACCTGGCCTCAGGGTCAAATGCTTTTTAGACAAACATTTACAAAACAAACTCTAATTCATCTGTACATATGAATGTTATTTATCAGTGAGAAGCAAAAAATCACCTGAATCCAACAAAACCATGGGCCGATCATAGCACTAGCACTAGCATTAAAGAGGGGGTGTGTCCAGGTGGGGCTGTACTTGGCTGCTGGAGGCTGGAGTGGGATGATACAAGTCCATATATGGTGATGACATCTGAACCAATCTGTGAGCGCTGTGGCATTTAAAATCACTGCCAGTGTGTGTAAAGTGTGCAGTCTTTGCCTCATCACAGGCAGCACAGAGGCTGTGGGGAAAAGTTATATATGTGACAATAAAACAGGTCCGGAGCCTCACGATGAAAGTCCACACCAGCAGAGGCACCACCAAGAGAGAATTTTGGATGTGCCATGACAGAACTGTCTGAGTTTGTGTTTGGAACACTCCACGTGCACGTGCCCCTGTCACACACACACACACACACACACGTCAACCTTTTTAGTTTTCTCTGCGTTCTTTTGTTCATTACACACCAGACCAGAGTCTATCTCATGTTCCCCAACCCACAGCAGATCCACTGACCACTGCTCTCCCCCCAGTCCCACCCACTCTCGTCTGTTCTGGTTCTGCTCCTGCGTCTCTCACCTGAAGTAAGATTGATCAGCCTCTCCCACACTCCTCCACGGTGGGATCCAGCAGGAGGGTTGAACGACCACTTGATGCCCTTTTGGAGTAACACACTGTGCACCTGTGCTTAGTTCCACTGCTCTATGAGTGGTTTTAGCTCACGTTCTGCTCCCACTAAATTTGTCTCATTGTCAGAGTGCAGCTCATGGACCTGTCCTCTTCTGGCTATGAAGCACCTCAGAGCGTTTAGAAGGAGTCAGTATCCAAAGAAGGTGCCACCTCAATGTGAAAAGCTCTCAGTGCAAGACGGGTACTGTAAATATGACACTGTACCACTTCACTGTACTCCTGCTCCTCACTTTAAAAGGCCCAAAATAATCAACTCCAACTCTGGTAAAAGAGGCTCATCTGGCATGAGTCGTTCCGCGGACAAGTGTGCCACCTGCTGGTACACTGGGGTAGCACTGAGTCTCCTGCAGATGACACATTTGTACAGGACACTCCTTATAGCAGTGCTGACTCCAGTGATCCAGTGTTTCTCCCTGAGCTTGGATAACATGTGGGTGTGGCCTCCGTGTCCCACATCCTGATGTACTTTCCTCAGCAGCAGAGTAGAAATATGGAGATCTTTGGCCAGTTTGACGGGATGACTGGACTCTAGGGGCATTGAAGATTTGCATAGACGCCCGCACACACGTAAGATACCATTTTCCAGCCTTGGGCACAACTTGTACAGCTTACTGGTGTAACACCTGGAATTTACAGGTAGCTTTAATAACAAAGCAAGCCAGTCAGTGTATGGGTCTTACAGCCATACGGCAGCTTTTATTTACAAAAAATATTAAAAGGTGCTTTTAACAAGTGAGAATACTACTGCAGGGGTGCGGCTCCACCCTAAAGCTGGGGTGAAGGGGACATGCTATAAAGTGAAAAAACAAACAAGATTAATACAAAGAAAACCGTTACCACAACTGAAAACACCCATTTACAAGTGCCACCATCACCAATAACTATAAATAAGGTCACCCTCTAGGTGAGCCCCCTCCACACCCAGCTACCTCCAGCCCACACCCACCGCAGAGCTGTAATGAATTAACAATCAAAACTAAAACTCAAAAACGGCAACCAGCACTGAGCCTCTCTCATCTGGACTGTTAAAACCAGAAATAGCCGTGTGTTAGGCCTGCTCAGGAAGAGGAAGTCACCTAGTTCCCCTCTGACCTTTGTAGTCTCTGCCATGTGACACCTGTGTCACATGGCAGAGACCACATGATCAGCTACCTTGCCACACTGGTTTTCCAGTTTCCACACCGTTTCCTGTCAGTCAACCATTTACTGTCCACAAGCAGTGTCTGCGGTGAAGGCCTCCTGAACACTCTGTATCTGAGTCAGAACAGTCCCATGTGTTTTACTGTGACTGAAGTGTGTTTTCTTCTGTGTCTCAGGATCCACCAGAAACATCCTCCGTCTGAACCTGGTCCCAGCTGTGAGTCCCTCAGGAGTGACATGTCTATGGAACTTCCAATATCCTTCAGGAGAGAGTTGTGAGTGAGCACTGTGTATTATGGTGCATGATATTAGAAGTATATGTGGAGTTAGATCTGGTATATGGCTTATTTAATGTTTCACAAATTCTGTTCAGGTGAAAGTTTCCTTAGTTTTTCGAAGTAAAGACTCAGTCACTATAATTAAAAAGTTTAGGGTAAAACTATATTTAAAAAACATTGGTGTGAGATTTGTCCAAAACAGTGCTCTGGTTTATCATTTAAATTTAAAGTCCAAATGTATTTTCCTGTTAATTAAATCCACCAGACTCTAGCACAGAGCAGAATGTTCTGAAGAGTCCCCCACCTGGGAGAGACACATCATTGTGCCACAGAGCCACGAGTTTTCAAAAACATTGATCATAAGAACAATACATGAATAATAAATAATAATGATGCATGTTTCAGGCATCTCTGTGACAGAGGGGAGCAGCCGGGTCCAGAGGTCTCCAGTGGTCAGCACCATCAGACACAGCTGGACTCCATATTTAAGGTCTGCCATTCACAAAAGTTTGGAAATGTTCAGATGAATGAAGCTTGTTTCACACAGATCTGACACTGACTACATTTGTGTTGTTTATAATGTGTCTGTTCAGCGTCTGGAGGAGGACATTTTCACTTTTGTCCAGAAGGAGCTGAAGAAGCTCCACAAGGTTCTGAGTACAGATGAGCCAGGAGGTTTACATCCTGTGGAGGATGAGGATGAAGAGCAGAGGAGCTGCAGTGAGGCTGTTCTGAAGATCACACTGAACTCCCTCTGGAGGATGAAGCAGAAGGAGCTGGCTGAGCGTCTGAGGAACAGTAGACCATTTAAAACATTTAACAAGGTGCTCACAGTCATTTTTCTCTCTGAGACCAGGTCTGTATCTGTTTTTCATTCAGGACTTATTCTGAAGTTTATCGGCGAAACTGAAGTCTGACCTGCAGCAGAAGTTTGAGTGTGTGTTTGAGGGCATCGCTAAAGAGAAACTCCAGCCTTCTGAATGAGATCTCACAGACCTCTACATCACAGAGGGAGTCTTCAGAGGTCAACCAGGAACATGAGGTCAGAACACATGGAAACAGCCTCCAGGACACCAGGCCAGCAGACAACCATAACATGTGAAGACATGTTTAAAGGCCAGCTCACACATGGAGCCATCAGAACAGTGCTGACAAAGGGAGTGGCTGNAATGTTCTGAGAGTCCCCACCTGGGAGAGACACATCATTGTGCACAGAGCCACGAGTTTTCAAAAACATTGATCATAAGAACAATACATGAATAATAAATAATAATGATGCATGTTTCAGGCATCTCTGTGACAGAGGGGAGCAGCCGGGTCCAGAGGTCTCCAGTGGTCAGCACCATCAGACACAGCTGGACTCCATATTTAAGGTCTGCCCATTCACAAAAGTTTGGAAATGATTCAGATGAATGAAGCTTGTTCACAAGATCTGACACTGACTACATTTGTGTTGTTTATAATGTGTCTGTTCAGCGTCTGGAGGAGGACATTTTCACTTTTGTCCAGAAGGAGCTGAAGAAGCTCCACAAGGTTCTGAGTACAGATGAGCCAGGAGGTTTACATCCTGTGGAGGATGAGGATGAAGAGCAGAGGAGCTGCAGTGAGGCTGTTCTGAAGATCACACTGAACTCCCTCTGGAGGATGAAGCAGAAGGAGCTGGCTGAGCGTCTGAGGAACAGTAGGACCATTTAAAACATTTAACAAGGTGCTCACAGTCATTTTATCCTCTCTGAGACGCAGGTCTGTATCTGTTGTCTTCATTCAGGGACTTATTCTGAAGTTTATCGGCGTAAACTGAAGTCTGACCTGCAGCAGAAGTTTGAGTGTGTGTTTGAGGGCATCGCTAAAGCAGGAAACTCCAGCCTTCTGAATGAGATCTTCACAGACCTCTACATCACAGAGGGAGGGTCTTCAGAGGTCAACCAGGAACATGAGGTCAGACACATGGAAACAGCCTCCAGGACACCAGGCCCAGCAGAGACAACCATAACATGTGAAGACATGTTTAAAGGCCCAGCTCACACACATGGAGCCATCAGAACAGTGCTGACAAAGGGAGTGGCTGGCATCGGGAAAACAGTGCTCACTCAGAAGTTCACTCTGGACTGGGCTAAAGGTAAAGCCAACCAGGACATACAGCTGCTGTTCCCGTTCACTTTCAGAGCACTCAATGTGCTGAAGGACAGAAGTTTCAGTTTGGTGACACTTGTTCGTCACTTCTTTAGTCAAACACAAGCAGAACTCTGCAGCTTTGAAGACCTCCAGGTGCTCTTCATCTTTGACGGTCTGGACGAGTGCAGACCTCCTCTGGACTTCACAAAAACCGAGGCCCTGAGCGACCCCACAGAATCCGCCTCAGTGCACGTGCTGCTGGTGAACCTCATCAGGGGAAGCCTGCTTCCCTCTGCTCGCCTCTGGATAACCACACGACCCGCGGCGGCCAATCAGATCCCTGCTGAGTGCATCTCCATGGTGACAGAGGTCAGAGGGTTCACCGACCCACAGAAGGAGCAGTACTTCAGGAAGAGGTTCAGAGACGAGGCCGACACAATCATCTCCCACATCAAGACGTCCAGAATCCTCCACATCATGTGCCACCTGCCGATCTTCTGCTGGATCGCTGCCGCAGTCCTGGAGCATGTGTTGAAAAACAGAGAGAGAGGAGAGCTGCCCAAGAACCTGACTCAGATGTACATCCACTTCCTGGTGGTTCAGGCCAAAGTCAAGAACATCAAGTATAAAGAGGGATCTGAGACGGACCCACACTGGAGTCCAGAGACCAGGAAGATGTTGGAGTCTCTGGGAAAACTGGCCTTTGAGCAGCTGCAGAAAGGAAACCTGATCTTCTACGAGAGTGACCTGAGCGAGTGTGGGCTGGACGCTGCAGCGGCCTCAGTGTACTCTGGAGTGTTCACACAGGTCTTTAGAGAGGAGCCAGGCCTGTACCAGGACAAGATCTACTGCTTCATCCATCTGAGTGTGCAGGAGTTTCTGGCTGCTCTTCATGTCCATCAGACCTTCATCAACACTGGGATCAACCTGCTCTCACAGAAACAATCATCATCACGGACAAAGGTTTTTAGCAGCAAATCAGTGCAGTTTTACCAGACAGCTGTGGACCAGGCCTTACAGAGTCCAAACGGACACCTGGACCTGCTCCTCCGCTTCCTCCTGGGTCTTTCACTGTCGACCAATCAGAGCCTTCTAAAAGGTCTGCTGACACAGACAGGAAGCAGCTCCCAGACCAATCAGAAAACAGCTGAGTACATCAAGAAGAAGCTGAGTGAGGATGTGTCTGCAGAGAGGAGCATCAACCTACTCCACTGTCTGAATGAACTGAATGATCGTTCTCTGGTGGAGCAGATCCAACAGTATCTGACATCAGGACGTCTGTCTGAAGGTGGACTGTCTCCTGCTCAGTGGTCAGCTCTGGCCTTCATCTTACTGTCATCAGAAGAAGATCTGGACCAGTTTGAGCTGAAGAAATACTCAGCTTCAGAGGAGGGTCTCCTGAGGCTGCTGCCAGTGGTCAAGGCCTCCACCAAAGCTCTGTGAGTCTCCTTTGTTTAACAGAGGATGGTTTGATTCAACTTCTACATAAACAGTGTTTTCTGTCTCCAGACTGAGCAGCTGTAACCTGTCAGAGAGAAGCTGTGAAGCTCTGTCCTCAGTCCTCAGCTCCCAGTCCTCTAGTCTGAGAGTCCTGGACCTCAGCCTCAACGACTTGAAGGACTTGGGGCTGAAGATGTTGTGTGTTGGACTGAAGAGTTCTCACTGTAAACTGGAACAGCTCAGGTCAGAGGGGTTCATATTCTTCACTATTATTACATAAACTGTTGGTATTTGCATTGGAAAATCACATTTGATAAAGTCACATAAAGATATGGGACTTGTTCTTTGTCTCATTTGAGTTGAATGTTTCTAATGAATGGACTGATTCCAATAATGTGTCCTCAGACTGTCAGGTTGTCTGCTCTCAGAGGAAGGCTGTGCTTCTCTGGCCTCAGCTCTGAGGTCCAACCCTTCCCATCTGATGGAACTGGACCTCAGCTACAACCATCCAGGAGACACAGGAGTAAAGCTCCTGTGTGCTCTAAAGGAGGACCCCTACTGCACACTGGACACTCTCAGGTATGGACCACTTTACTGTGGACACAAAGACACTTTGACTAAACATGTGGACAGGATTTGACTAAGAATCAAAGTGACTTAAAGTGTTTTTTCCTCTCATCACAAACATTAGAAGTGTCCATTCAGCACAAAAACGAGTTGAGCTGCTGCGTCCTTCATGCCCCATGTGCTGTATGAGCCAGTTACTGATGCTGAGTGTGAATGTGGTGTATTCATCATCCTCAGGCCTCAGCTTAACATCGTCACACAGATCAATATAAAACCTTAGAGCTGTGAGCTGCATTAAAGCTCCATATGACACTATTTGATGATCTCTGTTCTAATGTTGTTTCCTCATCACAAACACACCTGGACTTGTGTTTTGTTTCATTCACATGTTTAACACGCAAACCTGCACATTTAAGCTGAGCTCTTCTCTCAAACCAAAAACACTCTGTGATGTCATCATGTGGCGATACAGGAAGTGCTCCACTGTGTTTTTAAATTCCACACACCTTCACTAGAATCATCTGGATCACTTCAGTCCTGAAATTTACAATTTCTACTAAACAAAAGGTAAAAGGAGCTTTTAACTTGAAAAGTACCACTTCATGACATCACAAAGTGGAACAGAGCATATTGAGCTTTGGAGTAGAGCCCTCCAACCCGACACAAAAGAGTGCGGCGCGGGACACATTTTGAAAGCTCAGTGTGGTGCGGGCGGGAGCGAGACTGCACAGTGTGGGAGCGGGCGGGTGGGAGGATAAACTACAGTCCCACAAATTCAATCTGACACTAAAGTCAAATATCCAAATGATTCATGTTTGTCTCATACATCATTTGTGTTGGAGATTTGATTTGGCATTAATAAAAACATTTTAAACACACTCAACTTGCAGATGTGTCTAATCTCGATCACATTTAGACAATTTTTTTCCTCTTCTCTGAGTTTGATCTTAAGAAAGTGAACATCCCCATCCTGTGGGATTTGCAGGAGCAGATCAAAATATCACAGATGTGAGAGCAGAACAAAATATCACAGATGTGAGAGCAGAACAAAATATCACTGATGTGAGAGCAGAACAAAATATCACTGATGTGAGAGCAGAACAAAATATCACTGATGTGAGAGCAGAACAAAATATCACTGATGTGAGAGCAGAACAAAATATCACTGATGTGAGAGCAGAACAAAATATCACAGATGTGAGAGCAGAACAAATATCACAGATGTGGGAGCGGGAATGAAAATTCTGTCTCTTGCAGACCTTGACTTTGGAGACACTCAAGAATGTTGTTTAATTATCCTACACATCCTCCCAGATCTCACAATCCTCACATAAACTGTTTGTGTTTCAGACTCATGTGTTTCTGACTCTTGTGTTTCAGCCTCATGTCTTGTGTTTCTGACTCTTGTGTTACAGACTCATGTCTTGTGTTTCAGACTCATGTCTTGTGTTTCAGACTCATGTCTTGTGTTACAGACTCATGTCTTGTGTTTCAGACTCATGTCTTGTGTTTCTGACTCTTGTGTTTCAGACTCATGTCTTGTGTTACAGACTCATGTCTTGTGTTTCAGTCTCATGTCTTGTGTTTCTGACTCTTGTGTTTCAGACTCATGTCTTGTGTTTCACTCATGTCTTGTGTTTCAGATGTCTTGTGTTTCAGACTCATGTCTTGTGTTTCAGACTCATGTCTTGTGTTTCAGACTCATGTCTTGTGTTTCAGACTCATGTCTTGTGTTTCAGACTCATGTCTTGTGTTTCAGACTCATGTCTTGTGTTTCAGACTCATGTCTTGTGTTTCAGACTCATGTCTTGTGTTACAGACTCATGTCTTGTGTTACAGACTCATGTCTTGTGTTACAGACTCATGTCTTGTGTTTCAGACTCATGTCTTGTGTTTCAGACTCATGTCTTGTGTTTCAGACTCATGTCTTGTGTTTCAGACTCATGTCTTGTGTTTCAGACTCATGTCTTGTGTTTCAGACTCATGTCTTGTGTTTCAGACTCATGTCTTGTGTCTCATGTCTTGTGTCTCATGTCTTGTGTCTCATGTCTTGTGTTACAGACTCATGTGTTTCAGACTCTTGTGTTAGACTCTTGTGTTACAGACTCATGTCTTGTGTTTCAGACTCATGTGTTTCAGACTCTTGTGTTACAGACTCATGTCTTGTGTTACAGACTCATGTCTTGTGTTACAGACTCATGTCTTGTGTTACAGACTCATGTCTTGTGTTTCAGACTCTTGTGTTTCAGACTCATGTCTTGTGTTTCAGACTCATGTCTTGTGTTACAGACTCATGTCTTGTGTTTCAGACTCTTGTGTTTCAGACTCATGTCTTGTGTTTCAGACTCATGTCTTGTGTTACAGACTCTTGTGTTTCAGACTCATGTCTTGTGTTTCAGACTCATGTCTTGTGTTACAGACTCTTGTGTTACAGACTCATGTCTTGTGTTTCAGACTCTTGTGTTACAGACTCATGTCTTGTGTTTCAGACTGAAGCCTGCTGGAGCTGAGTGGTTGACTCCAGGACTCAGAAAGTGTAAGTGTTTAATTAAGTCCATTTGAAACAGACACAAACTTATTTCAAATGGGTGTGAGACACAATGCATGATGGGAAACTGAGTCCTCCCATAGAATGTGGCAACTGGACAAACCTGATGTGATGTGCAGGAGTTTCATTAGTGGTTGTGTGTGTTGGGATAGTGCTCTGAAGGGGGAGGGACTTAGCACGGGGAGCAAAGAGAGGGAAGACTCAGAACATCCCCCTCTTTAAAGGAGGAAGTGTGTGTCCTGGAGCACAGAGGAGTGTAGGAATGTGTGGAGTGACGTCAGAGACTGGAGCTGCACTTTGTCACTGCAGCAACAAACTCCAGAGTCCAGATTTACACTGAGAATAATCTGAAATAGACTCCAGATTTACACTGAGAATAATCTGAAATAGACTCCAGATTTACACTGAGAATAATCTGAAATAGACTCCAGATTTACACTGAGAATAATCTGAAATAGACTGGTGTGGGGCTGTGAAAGGAAAAGTTTTTACACTCACATAAATGTGAGACAAACAGAAGAGTGGAATGATGAGAGTGGACATTGGACTCACTGCTGCTGTGTTGTGTTTTCTCTCCATCAGATTTCTGTGATCTCACTCTGGATCCAAACACAGCGAACAGAAATCTCAAACTGTCTGACAACTACAAGAAGGTGACACATGTGACAGAGGAGCAGCCGTATCCAGATCATCAGGACAGATTTGACTACTGGGAACAGATTCTGTGTTCCACTGGTCTGACTGGTCGCTGTTACTGGGAGGTCCAGTGGAGTGGATGGGTTTATATATCAGTGTCTTACAGAAGAATCAGAAGGAAAGGACGCGGTGATGACAGTTTGTTTGGACACAATGATCAGTCCTGGAGTCTGGAGTGTTCTAAAGTTGGTTTCTCTGTTCATCATAATAACAAACAAACCCGCCTCCCTCAGTCCTGGTCTTCCTCTTCTGGGAGAGTAGCAGTGTTTGTGGACTGTCCTGCTGGTTCTCTCTCCTTCTACACAGTCTCCTCTGACCAACTGACCCACCTCCACACCTTCAACACCACATTCACTCACACTCTGCTCCCTGGGTTTTGGCTCCCGTCTTATGACTCCTCAGTGTCTCTGTGAGCTCCGACAGACTCACTCTCCTCGGTGTAAAACAGTCCAACATTTTTCATCTATTTTTACATCGTTGAACAAAAAAAGTGATGTGTCATCCAGGTAGAATCCATGAGGAGAAAATCGCCTGGACAAAAGTTAGTTTGGTTGAAGACGTTTCGCAGCTTATCGCAGCTTCTTCAGTTCTGTTCTGTTCAGTTCTTGTTTACAGTTTCTGTTTGTTAGTTCGGCCTATTGACCTGTACAGAGTGTGGGGTTTAATTAGCATAACAATCCGTACATGACTGGTGTTTCTGAAAAACTATAGAGGATTTTCAAACAACATGAGATCCCGGTCTATTTCAAACCTACGAACACTCTAAGACAGAGACTGGTCCAACCAAAGGACAAAACACCGAGTCACAAACAAAGCAGTGCACTCTACTCCATTCAGTGCAGTGAAGACTGCAGTGAACGCTACATTGGAGAAACAAAACAGACACTTCACAAGAGGAAGAACCAACACAGACGAGAGAGCAGCAGTGGACCTCAGTCTGTTCATCTCCATCTAAAAGCCACGAGCCACTCATTTGAGGACAGTGAGGTACAGATTTTAGCCAGAGAGAAAAATTGGTTTGAGAGGGGAGTGAAAGAAGCTGTTTTTGTTAAGAAAGAGAATCCTTCTCTAAACAGAAATGGAGGACTCAGACACCATCTATCTCCTATTTACAACTCCATCAAAACAAACAAGAGAACAACAGGTGTAGTCAGGTCAGGTCCAGAGGTGTGGAAGCTCCATTATGGCCATGAACCGTTCTGCTAATTAAACCCCACACCCTGTACAGGTCAATAGGCCCAACTAACTAACAGAAACTGTAAACAAGTAGGTGTGTGTTAGTTTCAGTTAGTTAGCTCCAAAACTGAAGAAGCAGCTTGGATGAGCTGCAAAACGTCTTCAACCAATCTAACTTTTGTCCAGTCGACAAACTGAATTTTCTTCTAACAATAAAAGTGATGTTAATTGAGGCGTTTGACAGAAAAAGAGTGCAGACATGAGCCTCACTTCAGTGTCTGGATGAAGATAAATGTTTATATGGCAAACTGAGGTCCTTTTAGGTGGAGATGAACAGCAGACTGAGGTCCTGTGTTGCTCTCTCGTCCGTGTTGGTTCATTCTCTTGTGAAGTGGCTGTTGAAGCGGCAGAATCAGAACCCAGAAGAAAGGTCGTAACTATTCCTTAAATGGCTGGTGTTTCTGAAAAATTACAGAGGATTTTCAGACAACATGAGATCCCGGTCTATTTCAAACCTACAAACACTTTGAGACAGAAACTGGTCCAGTCAAAGGACAAAACAACACTGGAGAAATGAAAACAGACACTTCATAAGAGGATGGACCAACAGAGACGAGAGAGTAACACAGGACCTCAGTCTGCTATACATCTCCATTTAAAAGCCAATTTCTCCTTTGCCACGTCTAGAGTGAGAGATGTGTGTGGGTGTTATATGTGTACGGGACCACAACTTTATAAAGTGTCATGAAATATATGAGAAAATCCTTCTCTCTCTTTGTACTTCCAAATGTTTATGTCAAGGCTGTGTTCTGTGTTGTGTCCACCAGAGGGCGCTCACAGTCAGTCTGAGAATGGACAAAATGGAGCAAACGGAGAAACACATAACAGCAATCAACAGATACATAAAGACAATTATTTTACATCACTCATCACAAATATAATCTCCAGATAAAAAAAATACATCAATAATTCATGAAAGCAATAATGTGCTTCTGCCAGACTCTTCTAATCGTACATCACATTACTCCACATACAAAATAAATGTGTTAGTTTACTTTCAGGTGACAAATTCACTTCAATTCCTTCTGCACACTTAACTATAATAATTTCTTTATATCTTCCTTTTAACATTATCAGATTTGGGCATTTGTTGAGCTCATCACTCAATTCCAGATATTGACCCACAAACTGAAACTAAAACTTTTCCTTGTTCGGACTTGGGACATTTTAAAGAGACGCATTCCCCTTAAATAACAAGAACTTTCTCTTTCATTAAAATGTTTCTGAATGTTTTGGTCATTCTTTCCTTTTTTGTTTTGTACATGTTAACACTTTGGCATGTATAATTTGTTACAACAACGCCACCCCAAATCTAGTTTGGGGAAATAGAGTTTTAGGCCGGGAGCCAGGTCCACCCCTCCGGATGTTTTTTGCTACCTTTTTTTCACTATTATTTCCTGTTATATCTTGGGCCATAACGAGTTGATAGGGACCAACCCCAACTCGGCCCCGTTTGGTCTCAGGGCCCAAAAAACACACTTTTTAAGAAAAGCTATTTGCGAAATTATGTAACTGTAAATATTAAGGTACTGAAACCGCATACATGGTCAAATAACCCTAAAATTTGGCATGGTGTATTCTGACACATGGGGGAAACTAGGAGAAAAATATTTTGGGCCTTGTTGCCTTTCTACTGTCAAATATCACCCTCAACATATCCTAAAAGACTAAAAAATTTCTGTCCGCCTGACAAATTGTCATCAAAAGTGATCATTTTCAAGCATTTTATTGCATATATCACTGCCTCAAGTGTACATAAAAAACGTCCCATGTTCATAAGCTTCAATTTAAGCCCAAGATGACCTTTGTATCTAGAGGGAAACAGCTGCTATGACCAAAGTTCTTCACTGTACCTCAAATCGGCAGGAGGCAGAACTTTCAGGCTTTATCATTACTTGTGGGATCAAGCAGGATTTTTTAAATAGAAACAATATTTGAAAAGAGTTGACTTAAGTACTGCTGTACTATATGAAGTGAATTACATTAAAAGTGAATCATTTTAATTACATTAATAGTGAATAATAATAAAACTCAAGGTCAGAGTGCAAGATAAAACTATGGTAACCAGGTTACACATACAAACACACACAACCCACACACAACCAACCAACATCCTGACCCTTCATGCAACATCCCATCAAAAGTTATTTTCCAAAGACAATTGTGAGAGAAGCTGATAATTTTTTCTGGTTATAAGAAGAGATTGAGTCTATTGGGAGATTGGTGTCCTTTTCGAGGCGTCCACGACTCCTAGACTGAACATTAACTATTGTCAGATTGTGAGAAAACAACCGACCAAAGTAGATGTGGGAGACAAAGTATGGTGTGTGTACGTGTGTGTGCGTACACATGTCTGTGCGTGTGTGTGCGTGCACATGTCTGTGTGTGTGTGTGTGTGTGCGTGCGTGCACATGTCTGTGTGTGCGTGCGTACACATGTCTGTGTGTGTGTGTGTGTGTGCGCGTACACATGTCTGTGCGTGTGTGTGCGTGCACATGTCTGTGTGTGTGTGCGTACACATGTCTGTGCGTGTGTGTGCGTGCACATGTCTGTGCGTGTGTGTGCGTGCACATGTCTGTGTGTGTGTGCGTACACATGTCTGTGCGTGTGTGTGCGTGCACATGTCTGTGTGTGTGTGTGTGTGTGTGTGCGTGCGTGCACATGTCTGTGTGTGCGTGCGTACACATGTCTGTGTGTGTGTGTGTGTGTGTGTGCGCGTACACATGTCTGTGCGTGTGTGTGCGTGCACATGTCTGTGTGTGTGTGCGTACACATGTCTGTGCGTGTGTGTGCGTGCACATGTCTGTGCGTGTGTGTGCGTGCACATGTCTGTGTGTGTGTGCGTACACATGTCTGTGCGTGTGTGTGCGTGCACATGTCTGTGCGTGTGTGTGCGTGCACATGTCTGTGTGTGTGTGCGTACACATGTCTGTGCGTGTGTGTGCGTGCACATGTCTGTGTGTGTGTGTGCGTGCACATGTCTGTGTGTGTGTGCGTGCACATGTCTGTGTGTGTGTGCGTGCACATGTCTGTGTGTGTGTGCGTGCACATGTCTGTGCGTGTGTGTGCGTGCACATGTCTGTGTGTGTGTGCGTGCACATGTCTGTGTGTGTGTGCGTGCACATGTCTGTGTGTGTGTGCGTACACATGTCTGTGTGTGTGTGCGTGCACATGTCTGTGTGTGTGTGCGTACACATGTCTGTGTGTGTGTGCGTGCACATGTCTGTGCGTGTATGTGCGTGCACGTGTGTGTGTGTGTGTGTGCACATGTCTGTGTGTGTGCGTGTATGTGCGTGCACGTGTGTGTGTGTGTGTGCGTGCACATGTCTGTGTGTGTGTGTGCGTGCACTTGTATATTTACACATTGAATACTACACATTATTTCATTGTTGTAATGAATTCGCAGATTTTCAGATGGTGTAATGCAACAATATACTATTGAAAGCAGACAACATGCCAAAGAAACAACAAAATGATGAAGACTGGACAGCTGGTCAGAGTTCTTCAAAGCAGAAACCTCCACCTCAGCATCTCTGCAAAACTACAGCCTGCATAGTTACAAGGGACAGTAAATGATAGGTTCATACTTTTGTCTTCTAAGACTGATCCACTGAGTGCATTTACTGTGATCCATGATATAAAAAAGAAACTTCGCACACAAACATTTGATTGTGCTGGTTAGCAAGATGTTGCTGAATCAGTTACTGATGAATTGTCTTTGGATTGTGGCTACCATAAAAGCTGCCAACACATGTTTTTTCCAAAATGCTAACAATGCTTTAAGCAAGTGTCAAGAAAATTTCTTAATGAGACAGAAACATGAGCTTGTGGATTCTTTAGTTTTGTTCAGGAGTTATTGCATATTCTGCAGTAATAGTGCAGTGAAGTAAGTGTCCGGCAAGAGATACAGCTTCCAATCAAGTGTATACAAAAATTTTGAGAAAAAGCTCTGGAACTCAGTGACGAAGACCTGCTGTGCACAATCAGAGGAGTTGATCTTTTTGCCAATGAGGCAAGTTTCATGAATGTTGTCACAAACAGTACATGGTAACACAAGCACACAGTCTGACCATTTTTTGTCTGAGGTTATGACTAGTGATGTCAGCAACAGCCGCTTCTCTGAATTCTGTGAAAGCTGTGAGATGAGCAAGTTTAACAACCTGACCCTTTTCCATAACTTCAGTTTCTCTCTGGTCATGCACCCAACTAAAAGCTTTACTGATCAGTGCCTTCTTTGTAGCTGTTTCAGACTCTGCAGCTGAAGACAAAAGCAGAAGTGGCATGAAGCAAATGGAGTAGTTTTGTGTTTTAACAGTAGGAACTATATGAGCTCGTCTAATGTCCTGGAGTTTCCTCGTCACAAACCTGGAGTTGTGTTTTGTTTCTTTCACACATGTTTAACACACAAACTGCATATTTAGACTGAGTCCTTCTCTCAAACAGAAAATCCTCTGTTCCACCTTCTGATGTCACAGGAAGTGCTCCACTGTGTTTTTAAACTCCATACACCTTCACTTGACTTAATAGGATAATTTCAGCCCTGGAATTGCCCACCTCTACTAAACAAAAGGTAAAAGGAGCTGTTCACTTGAAAACTACCACTTCATGAGATCACAATGTGGAACCAAGGAATTTTTATAATAATAATAATTACTCAAATGTGTGAATGAAACAGAACACAGCTCTAGGTGTGTTTTTAGGCAGGTAACAGCATTATAAAGCTCACAAGAATCAATTTTGTATCATATAAGACCTTTACATGAATTTATCGTACATGGATATTCAGTCTGACCAGTGTGCTCCACTAAATCAAGGAGTATAGTTATAATAATAAGTTGTTGTAACTAGGAAAAATGCAGCGATCAACTGTGACCTGTTTTGAACCCTGACAGTGTAGAACCAACACATGCATGAAAAGGACAGAATGCTCTCAATACAGGCATAATAAAAGGTTATCACCATGTTTTTATTAACATCAGAAGACCATCATTTCCTTAACAGGTACTGCCCCTGGTGACAGTTTTTCTAAAGCTCTTCTGTGTTTGATGACAAGTTTAACAGAGCATCAAAAATAGTTCCAAAGTATTTGTCCTCTGTCCACAGGCTCACCCTGGAAGGGACTGTTGGTGCAAATAGTCTCTGCTTGTTTGAAAATGTCACAAAACATGTTCTGTTTTGTTTATGAGCTCTAAACAGGAGCTCTCACATCATGACGTGAACTGATGCAGATGTGGCAAGACCGGCTTTGAGGGTCTGGGCTGCGGGTGTTCTTACCTGTCGTGCCGTGGCGCTGCGCTGGTGGACTATTTAAGCGCTCCCTTCTCAGTCGTTCCCCCTTTTTCCCCCTCCGGGCCTCTCCTGGTGGCCACTCTGTCCTCCAGCTCAGGTAAACTTCCATTCATAATCTCCCATGCACGTTACATCCAAATTTACTATCATGTCTCCTTTTAGTGCCGCTGCTTGGCCGGTCCTCGGCTCCGCATCAGTCCCTCGCTCCTCTGGAGCACCTAGTGTGCGCGTTCATCTCTGCCCACAAGGTAATGCACGACCGATCCTCCTCCACTCATTCATCCACGCCCAGATTCTTACTGGTGTCTCTCCTTAGTTCCACAGGTGAGCCGAGTGAGTCCCTCGCCCTGTTGCGCTTGGCTGTGCGCCGCCGTGTCCCCTAAACCGCGGCGTCAGGTGACAAGCTCTACTACAAACTACCTGTGCCAACCAGCCTTTCTAAACTGTGTTGTGTTTATAGCGTGTGCTGGTCCATGTTGTTTGGACCACGTCTGGACGCAGTAGTTCTGTGTAAAGTTGCTTTTGCCTGGGATTGCGCACTGTCACTTCCAACCACAATATGTTGTTTTACTTTTGTTTTGTTTTTACTTTTGTTACCTCCGCCAAGGAGGTTATGTTTTTGCCGGCGTTTGTCTGTTTGTTTGTCTGTTTGTTTGTTTGTCTTTTAGCAACATAACTCAAAAAGTTATGGACTGATTTTGATGAAATTTTCAGAATTTGTTGGAAATGAGAAAAGGAAGAACTGATTTCATTTTGGGGATGATCCGGAAGAAATCCTGGATTCTGGATCACTTTGAAATTTTAGTTAACATTGTGGTAAATGGGGCCAAAAATTTTGTTTCTCAATATCTCGGTTAATTATTGACCAAACCCCATGAAGCTTGACTCAGGGATGGACAATGGGATCCTCTTTCATATTCCAAAGGCTGATCCGGATCTGATCCAGAAGACTGATTTTATCGCAATTTATATAAAAAAATGGGGGTAGTCCTTGGTGGAGGTCTGCGCTCTCTCTCTGCTTTTCTTTTGTGTGTTTTTTTTTTTTAGTTTTGTTTTTGTGTCTGGTTTTGGGGTTTCGCTTTGTGTTTTCAATATTTTGTACCTGTTTCTCCCACTGTAGTGTTTTACTGTTTTTCCTGTTTTTATGGCTGTAGCTACTTTTAAACAACTTAAAACTGTCTCTTAAAATAGAGAAAATAAAGATTGTGTAAATGATGGAACTTGGCTCTCCCCCTCACTTTGATACACTTACCTGTGTGCCCAATATTTAGACTCTATTTCCCCAAACTAGATTTGGAGTGGCATTGTTGCAACAATTTATTATAAAATTGAACATCCTCATGTCGCCACAGTTGGCATTCCGGAATGTTTGCAACCAAGATGAGTTTTACACAGCAGACACCCCAACATCCATATTTAGATAGTAGACAGCATTTTTCATCTAAATCTGCATAGATCCTACTGAAGTCCATATTATATAAACACGCTTTAAAACAATTTCTCAATGTGTCAGTCAAAATTGTGGTTGTGTGCAACTGCTTGACACAAGGCTTTAAGTAAATCTAAATATTCATTTCTTTGGGTGCATGCTCCTGTTTCCTGCAGGGCGGGCACTGTGACTATGTAATATGAGCTCAATGCTGAGGCTGTATTTTAGGTGGAAACATAGAAGCTCGTACCTCAGTTTAATGTGTCTGTGTCTGCGGTGAACAACATGAAGTGCTCTGTCTTCTGCCTCCTGACTGTGACCTTTGTGCCTTTGCTCTTCGCTCTGGAAGGTCAGTCACTGAAAATATACTTTTAAATGGAAAACATAGAAGGTCTATGTTGTATAGTCACAATTCTGTGACCTTGCGTAACTTCATATTTTCATTTTCCCTCAGTTGTATCAACTTATTTGTTGTGGTAACATTTACTACATCACAAATGCATTGAACTGGAACATTTGTATGTATTGCATTTATTCAATTTATTGCAAAAAAGAATGAAAAAAGTAACATTTCCATGGAGACAATCAGATGGTGAACCTTCTACATAAAAGCTGAGCACTTTAAAGCTATTTTAAAGCTATTCAATTATATAATGACATTTTTTTTCTCATTAAATAAATTGTGTTTCTTGTGATCTCAGACAAAGATGGACATTGTCCAGTGATGAACGCTGATGCTAAGTTCCTCCCTTGCACAAAGTTCTGCTCCACAGACAGTGATTGTCCGAGGACCTTGAAGTGCTGCACCATGGGCTGTCTGCAATCCTGTCTCGACCCAATCACGGGTAAAACACCCTTCAGTATTTGTTTAGGTGACCTGCAGTTTTAAAATGACTCAGGGCTAATTGACTGTTCAGTGATGGGCTGCTCTTTCACAATCCAAGCACCTGATCATATTCTGATTTCAGTTGAATTAATTATTTGAAAAATAATAAAGTTGGTTAGTTTGTTATAAAATTTGCACACAGACACACACTTTTTTAGTTGATCATGTACTTTTTAACAATAATCACTACACTGGCAAGGCTGCCAATCTGTGACCAAATCACAGTTTTGTTTGTAACTTTGTAAAAGTCCAAAGTGTCTAAACCCAAGGACTGTGCCCAGTCATACACCCTTCAGTGTTTGTTTCAGTCACCTGGTTTTATTATGTAATGCTCTATGTAAAACATGATCCAAACAGTAACAACAACCACCAAAGGGCATATTTTTTGTGAATGAATCAATAACATCTCCAGGAGATAAGAAGGTGGCCAAACCTCCACTCGAAAAGTCACAGTGCATCTTTGATACTGTTATTTCTGTTTTTATGTCCACAGAAACCAAACCATGATCCTGTCCTGCGCTGATCCACGATTTACCTACGTGTGATGATCGATGCTCTGACGACCTCGACTGTGACAAGAACCTCAAATGCTGCTACAGCGGCTGTGGCTACGAGTGTAAGACCCCTGAACGTGGCAACCAGGAAAAGATGAAACCCTAACCCTATATATATGTATATGTATATATGTATATATATATATATATATATATATATATATATATATATATATATATATATATTCACACTGACACACACACACTCTTATTTTAAATATAGGCCTAAGACTATTAATCCGCTGTCTGTTCTCAACCTTTGCAGTAAATAATAAATAAACCTGTTTGTCAAAGAGAACAACATGTCTGATGTTGGTGTTGATGCATGCCCTGTGCTCCACCTTTCTGTTGTGTTTATTTGTTAAATAAAGATGACACACCTCTCTCTTGTTTTGCTGGTTTGAACAGTTTCAAATTTTAATAATTGAATTTGTTAAAGCTACTGTTTGTATTTAGACTGGCAGACCTGTTGTATTGTCACATAAGACCATTAGATTGATCTACTTTAATGTAGTGTGATCTACTTTCATAGTGTGATAGTTTGACAGAAAACACAAGACCAGAAGCACAGGTGAGCATGAACAAAGGCCAGGTGAGGGGAGGGGGGAAAGGTTCAAATCTGACTGTGGTAAAAAAAAAAAAAAAAAAAGAAAAGAAAAAGAATAAACTTACAAATGACAGCTTTAATGTGGTTAGTTAGCTGGAGTTAGGTTTCAGGGTTTAATACCACAGTAATGCAAAACTATTTGCCTCCAAAATCAAACACACCAAATGTGACATTACTATTTTGGCCGGGAGCCAGGTCCACCCCTCAGCATGGTTTTTGCTTCCTTTTGTTCACTATTATTTCTTGTTATCTTATATCTTGGGCCATCACGAGTTGATAGGGCCAACCCCAACTCGGCCCCGTTTGGTCTCAGGGCCCAAAAAAACCCTATTTTAGAAAAAGGTATTTGTAAAATGATGGAACTGTAAATATTAAGGTGCTGCAACTGCATAAATGGTCAAATAACCCTAAAGTTTTGCATGGTGTTGGTACATTTTTCTGGTTATCAAGAGACTGAGTCAACTTCTAGATTGAAAACATTAGCTATTGTCAGATTGAAATTAGTGCACGTGTGTGCGTGCGTGTGCGTAATATCTGTATCGTATGTCTGTTTGAGGCTAAACTTCAATGAAATTGGAAACATTGGGTCTCAGTTCATGTATATTTACACACTGAATACTGCACATTATTTCATTATTGTAATGAACACATTGATTTTCAGATGGTGTAATGCAACAAATATACTATCAAAGGCAGACAACATGTCACTCTGACAGCTGGTCAGAGTTCTTCAAAGCAGAAACCTCCACCTCAACCATCTCTGCAAAACTGCAGCCTGCGGGGTTACAAGAGGACAGTAAATGACAAGGGGTCTCCAACCTTTTTTCCTCTGGTGAGCTACCCTTACAAAAGAAAAAGAGCTACTTATTTTTAACAGTTGCAAGAAATGTAGTAAATATAAGAGCCACAGCCTTAGATTAGGGACAGTTAGACATATAAACCATTATTCATTTATCAGTGCACAAAACTGGCATTAATATGTTAGATTTACAATGATAATTAATCAAATTGTACTGATTCAGCACAATATGTATAATTCAGAAATACATTGGTGAGGTACTTGGAATGGGGTGGAGAGCTGCTGGTGCCCCCCGAGCTACAGGTTAGAGGCCCTTGAGATAGAGCATGAAGAGGAGGGGCCGAGAACTGAACCAACCAATTGCTTAAAGCACAGTTAACATTTTGGAAAAAACATGTGTGTTGACAGCTTTTATGGTAGCCACAATCTAAAGACAATTCATCAGGAATTGATTGAACAATTGATTGAGCACCATCAAATGTTTGTGTGTGAAGTTTCTTTTTCATATCATGGATAGCAGTAAATGCACTCAGTGGATGGAGGTTTCTTCTTTGAACAACTCTGACCAGCTGTTTGGCATGTTGTCTGCTTTCAATAGTATATTGTTGCATTACACCATCTGAAAATCAATGTGTTCATTACAACAATGAAATAATGTGCAGTATTCAGTGTGTAAATATACATGAACTGAGACCCAATGTTTCCAATTTCATTGACGTTTAGCCTTAAAGAGAAACTGGGTCGGACTCGGACACATCGGCGTGATGAGACATTTGAAATGTGCCAGTGTTTTTCAAAGATCAGACTCTGCACTTCTAGTTCAAATACAAGTCAAAACTGTGTTATTATTATTATTTATGAAATGTGGAGCAAAACTTCAGATACAGGATTTTTAAAGCATAAAAGATTGGAGATAAAGTCCACAGGAAGTAGAGTCACTGTCACTAATCTGCAGCTTCACCTCGATCCATGCGCTGCGTGGATGTAAACAGACACACAAGGCACGGAGAGGAGCACGGAGAGGTGTATAGAGAGTGGCACAGAGAGGGCACAGAGAGTGGGCACAGAGAGTGGGCACAGAGAGAGAGTGGGCACAGAGAGTGGGCACAGAGAGTGGGCACAGAGAGTGGGCACAGAGAGTGGGCACAGAGAGGGCACAGAGGGCTGCTACACCAAGTGAACTGTATTGTAGATATTGCAGCAGTTACAGAGTCTTTCTGGAACTGGGTGTGGCATGGTGGTGGGTAAGTGTATGGGTGTGTGTGGTCGAAAACAACAACACAAAATACAAAAACAAGATCAGAATTTCAATACAAAGGTATAAATAATAAATATGAAAGTATAAAAGTAGTGGACATCATAAAATAATGTATCTGTACTGTTAATTGGGCTACTGCATATAAACAAATACAGGGGTAATGCCATGGTAGGGTGGTCTTTGTCGCCCTCTGTGGGTTCACTGACAGAACTGCATGGCACAGTCCGCGCGTGTTCAGGATGAAATATACTCGGCTAGAACAGCGAGACACGATGGAGACACGATGGACCAAGTAAAACTTGAGTGACACGGACCAGAGTGGACTTGGCTCACAAACACACTGTAAACACAGCCCGATATGAAAGTGAAGCCTCCAAACCGAGAAACTGAAGTGAGGAATACAACTCCAAACCGACGTCAGTCAAGACAGGGCTGCTTTTGAGCAAGACACTTCCTCTGGCAGTGAAGTCTTTGAAAACAAGGATTTTTTTTTTTTTTTCTTTTCTTTTTGATAAGAGGAACATTTGGGAGAGTTCTGTCTGTTTGATCTTTAGATACTTTCACGTAAATATGGGACTTGAGACACAAGGGTTAGGGTTAGGGTATTACAAGTATTTGGATCACTGTGATTTTGAACAGGTAATGGCGGACTAATATGAGCCCTCAACTCAGGTGAAGAACAACCCTGTCTGTGTGACAGGTGCAGGAGAGATGACAGGAGATGGAGTTTGGGTCTTTTTCATTTATTTACAAATGAACCAGAGTTTTTTTTTTTTTTTTTTCTCAGACTCGTGACAGGTAAAGCATCTGAAACAGACAGGGACTGACAGGTGCAGGTGAGAAAAGGAGATCTGCAAAAAAATTTAAAACTTGTTTAAAAAGTCACACATGTATATAAAGTACAGTACTCCATATACTATAATATTATACATGTACATAGAGTATACAATACTGCATATACTATCATACAGTACATGTATATAGAGTACAGTACTACTATAATACAGTACATGTATATAGAGTATAAAGTACTGCATACACTATATACAGTACGGCAATAACACTGTGCACATATGTAGAGTATACACCACTACACACACTATAATACTGTACACGTATATAGAGTATACTGTACTGCATATACTATAATACTGTACATAACTGTACTGTACAATACATAAGTTCATGTGACTTCATAGAAACACAGTTCACATTATTAAGACCATCAGTTACTAATTACTCAAGTGCTGAAAGTAAAACAGACAAATGCTGTGAAAACAGTTCAGTGTTTTGTATTGTTTTAGTTGGAAAGGTTTATTAGTTGTCATAGTAGATTAAATTATGTTTATTATGTTTGACACCATCATTTCAGGTTGCAGACTGATAGTACAGATGTGACAGACTTAAAGATGTGAACGATGACTTAGCTGCATATTTTAGAAAACAGGTCATTCACAATTTTTTGTTCATTGTAGTGATGACTTCTGGTTTGTAAGTAAAGTAAAATGTCACTATTGAGACTGATTTTATGGTGGGGCCTGAGTGTTTGTCCCACTTTTAATAGTTGTGGTTTTGGCAAATGGGTCATTGAAAAAAGTAAAAAAATAAACTGACCCCTGTCTACTGTGCAAAGACCTGTGAAATTATAATAATAAAGACTATCTGATCTCATGTGTGAATATACAGGAGTTAAAATGATCTCTACTTAACATAGTCTTTACCTTTTAAATCAGTGTTCTCTTTGTCAATGCTCCACTCCCTGAGCCCTTCACACCTCTGCCTCAGCCCACAGCTCCATGCACTAATCCACCTGGCTCACTGACACTTAATCACCTTTATTATGTTAATGCTGCCCTGTTTCTTGTGGTTCAGCGTAATGTCTGTGTCTCATGTGAGTTTTGAAGAGCTGCTCAGATCCTCCTGATTGGCTGCTGTGGTCCAATCAGAGGAGTGGGGAGGAGTGGAGGGACACTTCACCAACTGCAGCAGCTCAGAGACAAAGAAAGAGCTGGACACAGAAAACACAGAAAAAACGGCTTTCTTTGCCAAGAATTAACCATAACTTTTAGCAGAGTGGACCATAAACTGTTGGTTGAAGGACTTTTTGAACTTTCTGCCACTACTCTGGTAAGTATATCCATGGTCCATGTGGGATTCACAGCAAAAGATTGTTAAATATCTCTGAATATTTTACCTTATTTCGATAANTTATAATCTGTGGAGACAACAATATTGTTTATTCAATGCAAAAAAATAAACATCAATTCACTGAGGAATTTATCAATACAATGTTTGCCATGGGCTTGTATCCATTAATTCAGGGGTGGGCAAACTTTTTGGCTCGGGGGCCAAAAAGGGTTCTAAAATTTGA